TGCGTGTGGAATTAGCCCTGTTTTTGCAAGAGCACCAACACTGCCATGCAGATTGCTTCAAAAATCCTGAGTTCATTCTCATTTTAGCGTACATGGCTGATATATTCGCAGCTCTCAATCATCTCAATCAGCAGATGCAGGGTGGTGGAGTCAATATCATGGAAGCGGAAGAACACCTGAAGGCTTTTCAAAAAAAGCTACCGTTATGGAAACGACGAACAGAGAACAATAACTTCGCAAACTTCCCGCTTCTGGACGACTGTGCAAGTAAGATCGAAGATGTGTCTGGAATCGGAGATATTTCTGTATCCACGGAACTGAAGCAAACAATTGCTACGCACTTAGATGAGCTTGCAAAGTCTCTCGACGGATATTTCCCTACAAGAGAGTCATATCCAGCATGGGTGAGACAGCCGTTCACGTTTGCTGTTGAAACAGATGTCAATGATGAATTCCTCGACGAAATCATTGAAATTCAGCAGAGCCAGGTTCAACAGCAACTCTTCAGAACAACAACGCTCTCAACGTTTTGGTGTCGACAAATGAACAAGTATCCAGTTATTGCTAAGAAAGCCCTGGATTTTTTTATACCATTTGTTACAACATATCTTTGTGAGCAATCCTTTTCGAGGATGCTGGACATAAAAACGAAGAAAAGGAACAGACTTTGCTGTGAAAATGACATGAGAGTGGCACTTGCCAAGGTGAAGCCACGCATATCTGAACTGATCTCTCAAAGGCAACAGCAGAAGTCACATTGATTTCCAGGTATGTAATTTGTTGTGAGTTTATGCATTGTGTTGGTTTTATTCTTTGAACAAGGTAATGTTCATGCACGGCTCATTTTGTGTACCAGTAAAAAACATATCTATGTCTTGAATTTGAAAAAAAATCACATTTTATTTTTCACTAAAGAGGGGTTCGGTGAATGCGCATATGAAACTGGTGGGGTTCGGTACCTCCAACAAGGTTAAGAACCACTGGTGTAGTGTATAGTGTAGTGTATCGTGTAGTGTATCGTGTAGTGTAGTGTGTAGTGTACAGTGTATTGTATAGTGTATAGTGTAGTGTATAGTGTAGTGTATAGTGTAATGTATAGTGTAGTGTATAGTGTAGTGTACAGTATAGTGTAGTATATATAGTGTAGTGCATAGTGTAATGCATAGTGTAGTGTGTAGTGTAGTGTAGTACACTAGCACATCACACTGGTGGGTTAGCGAGCCAAGCAACAACATTTGCACTCTGGACACCGTGACATTTCGCCAGCAATCACAACAACCAGCTTCGTCAGGCGACAGCCACATTTGTGCATTTATTCATTCACACAATCTAACCCGGCTGATATCGGCTCGCCGAAAACCAACAGCGTCAAACTACGAAAGTGCCGCGGCATCGTGGGAGCGGCCGATGAAACTGGCCGGGTTCGGGGAGAAATAAAAAAACCGGGACGCTGACGTGGCGCACGAAGGCTCACGGCGTTGTACGCGCCATCGTGACGCCGCTTGTCGCCCCGGTAAAACAATAATATAAACACGCGGAACTCCCTCTCGGTGCCGGACGTCGTGACGGACCGTGCCGATTTCGCCGCTCGTTGACCCCCGGCCACGCGAAGGCGAATTTAAATTCTCCCCCCACCCCCCCACCCCCCTCTCACCTGGCTCCCTGGCACCACGCCCAGTCGCCTCCCGTCCAGCGGCACACCAACGCCGGGGGAAAGCGCTGGGAGGTGAGAGACCGTCGCGAAGACTAAAATAAAATAACAAAAAACTGCGTCCGGTAACAGAGAGCTCGTAAAACAAAATTCCCACCCCCAAAAAAAAGTGAAAAACCAAACTCGGGGCACCGATTGTAACCGGCACGAGGCAAATATCCCCCAATGCTGAAAAACATCGCTCAGTTGGGATCATCTTCTTTGGTTCTTTCGGTAAAGTCACGTAGAATGAGAATAAAATAATAAATTGATAAAATAAAATAACACAATAATATTCTCACGACGTTTCGGCCACAACACAAGCGGCCTTCATCAGGTGAAGGGGCGAGACTGTCTGGTAGGACAGCGCTGGAGTGAAAGAGCCACGTTCAGATCACGGCCTTTAAGCTGTGTGAGAGGAACAAAGCGCCTTGACAAAGGAATTAGCATATAATTTAGCATTGAAATGGCTGAATGATTAGCTTGTGGCTGGTCACAGAAATAGCTATGTTAAAAGTTAAAGCATACACATCCGCAGAGGCACCCATTGTTAAAGGAATTAGCATAGAATTTAGCATTGAAATAGCTAAGTTAAGGCATACACATCCGCAGAGGCACCCCTTGACAATGGAATTAGCATAGAATTTAGCATTGAAATAGCTGAGTGATTAGCTTGTAGCTGCTACAGAAATAGCTACGTTAAAGTCAGAGCATACACATTCACCGAGGCACTTAGTACAAATCAAACAGGAGAATTTAGCATTGAAATAACTAGGCGAATTTAGCATTGAAATAACTGAGTGATTAGCTAGTGACTGGTCACAGAAATGACTACACATCTGAGCTATTCACAGTACTATATAGTGAACCAATAAAAACTAAAATATAAATTACCTTCATGTTATCAATAAACTCTATATTCTCCAATCAGCTAAGCTACCAACAATAAGTCGTTATATATCACAATGCTATATGGCGAAAAAATGGGTGGATTCTTACCCTCAAATTTCAGCACCACGGATAGCTACGGGCCCCATTCAGACGGACGAGTTCGTCCATGGTCGGAACAGAGGAGGGGGAGAGAGACAGCTGCGAGGCCCTAGTATACTCCATGTTGTAAAACTATACCATTAACCGTGGTGTGAGAGGAATTAAGAGGCAATGCTGGCGAAAGAGCTGCGGTCTGAAGGTCATCGTAAAAATACAATTAATTAAGAACAGAAATGATTTAAAACATCTTTCCAGTGGTTACTAAGCCTGAATCCATCTTCTCGGTTGAAATTGTCTCTGTGCTTGTATATGTGAATGGCCTCATGAACGAATCTCTCATGGTAGCCGGTTGGTTTGCAAAGAACCTCCGTCTTGGAGAAGTCAATGTCATGTGAGCCCACTGAATTATAACAGTGATCTGCCACGGCAGAGGAGTTCGTCCTACCGTGTTTCAAGTCTGCTTTATGTTCGCGGATGCGGTCCGAGATATGTCTTTTGGTTTCTCCAATGTAGCTACTACCACAGAGGCACTTTAGTTTGTAAACGCCCGGGTACTGTATGTCTGGAACAGCATCTTTTACAGATGGAACTAAATCACGGATTTTATGTACTGTGTTGAATCGGACCTGGATCTTGTGTTTATTCAGGATTTTGGAGATCTTTTTAGTGACCCCTGCAATGTAGGGTAAGGTGATGGTTCAACACAGTACATAAAATCCGTGATTTAGTTCCATCTGTAAAAGATGCTGTTCCAGACATACAGTACCGGGGCGTTTACAAACTAAAGTGCCTCTGTGGTAGTAGCTACATTGGAGAAACCAAAAGACATATCTCGGACCGCATCCGCGAACATAAAGCAGACTTGAAACACGGTAGGACGAACTCCTCTGCCGTGGCAGATCACTGTTATAATTCAGTGGGCTCACATGACATTGACTTCTCCAAGACGGAGGTTCTTTGCAAACCAACCGGCTACCATGAGAGATTCGTTCATGAGGCCATTCACATATACAAGCACAGAGACAATTTCAACCGAGAAGATGGATTCAGGCTTAGTAACCACTGGAAAGATGTTTTAAATCATTTCTGTTCTTAATTAATTGTATTTTTACGATGACCTTCAGACCGCAGCTCTTTCGCCAGCATTGCCTCTTAATTCCTCTCACACCACGGTTAATGGTATAGTTTTACAACATGGAGTATACTAGGGCCTCGCAGCTGTCTCTCTCCCCCTCCTCTGTTCCGACCATGGACGAACTCGTCCGTCTGAACGGGGCCCGTAGCTATCCGTGGTGCTGAAATTTGAGGGTAAGAATCCACCCATTTTTTCGCCATATAGCATTGTGATATATAACGACTTATTGTTGGTAGCTTAGCTGATTGGAGAATATAGAGTTTATTGATAACATGAAGGTAATTTATATTTTAGTTTTTATTGGTTCACTATATAGTACTGTGAATAGCTCAGATGTGTAGTCATTTCTGTGACCAGTCACTAGCTAATCACTCAGTTATTTCAATGCTAAATTCGCCTAGTTATTTCAATGCTAAATTCTCCTGTTTGATTTGTACTAAGTGCCTCGGTGAATGTGTATGCTCTGACTTTAACGTAGCTATTTCTGTAGCAGCTACAAGCTAATCACTCAGCTATTTCAATGCTAAATTCTATGCTAATTCCATTGTCAAGGGGTGCCTCTGCGGATGTGTATGCCTTAACTTAGCTATTTCAATGCTAAATTCTATGCTAATTCCTTTAACAATGGGTGCCTCTGCGGATGTGTATGCTTTAACTTTTAACATAGCTATTTCTGTGACCAGCCACAAGCTAATCATTCAGCCATTTCAATGCTAAATTATATGCTAATTCCTTTGTCAAGGCGCTTTGTTCCTCTCACACAGCTTAAAGGCCGTGATCTGAACGTGGCTCTTTCACTCCAGCGCTGTCCTACCAGACAGTCTCGCCCCTTCACCTGATGAAGGCCGCTTGTGTTGTGGCCGAAACGTCGTGAGAATATTATTGTTATTTTATTTTATCAATTTATTATTTTATTCTCATTCTACGTGACTTTACCGAAAGAACCAAACAAGATGAATCATTGCAGTCACGAAAGCTTTAAATCGAAATTCAGTTGGGATCAAACAACAACAACAAATCTTCTTGGTTCTTTCGGGGGGGGTTCACCCGCTCGCGAAGCGACAAGCCCCGGCGTTGCCCCGGCAACCACGGCAAGATGGGGCGCGGCAAGGTGGAGCACGGCAAGGTGGAGCACGGCAAGGTGGAGCACTCTCGCTCCTCCCCCCCCCCACCCCGAGCCGCTTCTCAAAAATCTTCCTCCCTCGCCTCGTCGTCATCTTCGTCTTTGAAAACCTGCGGGGGTCGGAATAAATTAGAGAGACGGTGACCGACCCCACCCACCCCCCCCCTGGGGTGGCCAGAAGCGGATCGCTCACTCAGCCTAAGCAGGAGCATCGGTGATGTGGGCGGACACTCGCTCACCGCTCGCTCGCTCACCGCTCACCGCTCGCTCGCTCACCGCTCACCGCTCGCTCACCGCTCACTCACCACCCACCCCTCCTCACCGCGTAGTCGTAGCTTCCAGCTCCGCTGTCTTGGTGCTGAGGCTGCGGTGGCAACTCGTGCAGCCCTTCATCCGCCTTGTTGCCACTCTCTAGCGTTAGCAACTACACACGGAGCATCCCCACAACACGCACAGTGTGTGGTGAATCTGTGGGTCTCTGTGTGTGGTGAGTCTGTGGGTCTCTGTATGGTGAGTCTGTGGGTCTCTGTGTGGTGAGTCTATGGGTCTCTGTGTGGTGAGTCTGTGGGTCTCTGTGTGTGGTGAGTCTGTGGGTCTCTGTATGGTGAGTCTGTGGGTCTCTGTGTGGTGAGTCTATGCGTCTCTGTGTGGTGAGTCTGTGGGTCGCTGTGTGGTGAGTCTGTGGGTCTCTGTGTGGTGAGTCTGTGGGTCTCTCTGTGTGGTGAGTCTATGGGTCTCTGTGTGGTGAGTCTGTGGGTCTCTGTGTGGTGAGTCTGTGGGTCTCTGTGTGAGTCTGTGGGTCTCTGTGTGGTGAGTCTATGGGTCTCTGTGTGGTGAGTCTGTGGGTCTCTGTGTGGTGAGTCTATGGGTCTCTGTGTGGTGAGTCTGTGGGTCTCTCTGTGTGGTGAGTCTATGGGTCTCTGTGTGGTGAGTCTGTGGGTCTCTGTGTGGTGAGTCTGTCGGTCTCTGTGTGAGTCTGTGGGTCTCTGTGTGGTGAGTCTATGGGTCTCTGTGCGGTGAGTCTGTGGGTCTCTGTGTGGTGAGTCTATGGGTCTCTGTGTGGTGAGTCTGTGGGTCTCTGTGTGGTGAGTCTATGGGTCTCTGTGTGGTGAGTCTGTGGGTATTATTTTGGCAATCGTCATCAGGAGGAGAAAAGAGGGGGATGAAAGCCGCTGAAGCAGCAGGCTGTTTTAAAGTTTTAAAGTTGGGTGTAGCCCAAGGGTCATAAACAAAGTGGGCACAACTTTACCGAAAGACCCAAAGAAAATGAATTCCTGCAGTCACGAAAGCTTTAGGTCGAGTCTAACTGTGTCTCTGTATATACACTACACTACTATATACTACACTATACACTACACTACTATACACTACACTACTATACACTACACTACACAGAATACGGAGAGAGACACGGATGGACTGGGCCTCTGTGTCCTGGCGGTGTGCCACTCACGGAGCCACGGTCGCCCGCCGCGTTTCTCTGCGGTGCCTTGGGGAGCGTGGGGGGATCCTCCCTGCACGCATGTGGGTAGTGGGGGGGTGGTGGGGTAGTGGTGGGGGGGGGGCACAGCGGCAGGTCGTCACACAGACGACCCCGCGGGCACCGCCGACGTCCGCCCGACGTCCGAGAGAAGCGAGCGACTCACGAGGGGCCCCAGGGCTCGTGACGACGCTGACGCTGACGGCGGTGGCGGTAGAGCAGCAGCAGCGTGGCCACCAGGGCGAGGGACACGGCGAGGATCGCGGCCGGAGCGGCCCAGCTGGCCCGGCCCGCCGCCGCTGCCGCCGCAGAATTCTCTGCGTGGCCAAACGGTCCCCCGCGTGGCGTCAGCGTGCCGCCGTAGTACGACGACAACCGCCGCGATGACCACACGCGCCAGGCTAGGTGCGCTTTGAGGCTCGCGGCGCTCGCACCCGGGCGTTGCGGGTCGAGGGAGCGAGACGGAGGGACGGACGGAGACAAAGTTCCCCCGTGAAGGCCCTGGCGGACTGTCAGGGCGGGTGCTGTTAGCGAGTATCAGCAGCTGTGAAGGCCGTGATTGTGACAAACGAGGGGATGGGTGGCCAGAACAGGGACACACACACACGCACACGCAATACACACACATGCACATGGACACACACACACACGCACACGAACACACACACGTACACACACACACGAACACACACGCACACACACACACGGACACACACGCACACACACACACATGCATGCACACGCACACGGACAGACACGCACACACACACGAACAGACATGCATGCACACACACACACACACACGGACACGCACACACGCACCAACACACACACACGTACACACACGCACCAACACACACACACGAACACACACACACGCACACACACGCACACGGACACACACGCACACACACGCACACACACATGCATGCACACGCACACGGACAGACACGCACACGCACACGCACACACACACACGAACAGACATGCATGCACACACACACGGACACACACACGGACACGCACACACGCACCAACACACACACACACAAACCAACACACACACACGTCCACGGACACACACACACCCACACACACACACCCACACGTACATGCACACACACACACACACGTACACGGACACACACACATGCAACATTCAGAGATGCGAACAAACCTGTTCGTGTGTCCAGTTGCCTGTTCGGACCGAAAGTCGTGAGTTCAACCGGCGTGCAACAGACGGCGGTGGTGGCATCTACATCTGTAGAACGTGAAGAACCAGTGGCATTTACATCTGTAGAACGTGAAGAACCAGTGGCATCTACATCTGCAGAGCGTGAAGAACCAGTGGCATCTAATACACTGAAACGAAGAACCAGTGCATCTACATCTAGAACGAAAGAACCAGTGGCATCTACATCTCCGTGAAGAACCAGTGGCATCTACATCTGCAACGTGAAGAACCAGTGGCATCTACATCTGCAGAGCGTGAAGAACCAGTGGCATCTACATCTGCAGACGTGTAAGAACCAGTGGCATCTACATCTGCAGAACGTGAAGAACCAGTGGCATCTACATCTGCAGAGCGTGAAGAACCAGTGGCATCTACATCTGCAGAGCGTGAAGAACCAGTGGCATCTACATCTGCAGAAGATAATGAGCTTTGGGTCTCCATGTGAGTCTATGGGTCTCTGTGTGAGTAGTCTATGGGTCTCGGTGTGATGAGTCTATAGGTCTCTGTGTGAGTCTATGGGTCTCTGTGTGAGTAGTCTATGGGTGGCTGTGTGATGAGTCTATGGGTTTCTGTGTGAGTCTATGGGTCTCTCTGTGAGTAGTCTATGGGTCTCTGTGTGAGTAGTCTATGGGTGTCTGTGTGAGTAGTCTATGGGTGTCTGTGTGATGAGTCTATGGGTCTCTGTGTGAGTAGTCTATGGGTGTCTGTGTGATGAGTCTATGGGTCTCTGTGTGAGTAGTCTATGGGTCTCTGTGTGAGTAGTCTATGGGTGTCTGTGTGAGTAGTCTATGGGTGTCTGTGTGAGTAGTCTATGGGTCTCTGTGTAAGTAGTCTATGGGTCTCTGTGTGAGTAGTCTATGGGTGTCTGTGTGAGTAGTCTATGGGTGTCTGTGTGAGTAGTCTATGGGTCTCTGTGTGAGTAGTCTATGGGTCTCTGTGTGATGAGTCTATGGGTCTCTGTGTGAGTAGTCTATGGGTGTCTGTGTGATGAGTCTATGGGTCTCTGTGTGAGTAGTCTATGGGTGTCTGTGTGATGAGTCTATGGGTCTCTGTGTGAGTAGTCTATGGGTCTCTGTGTGAGTAGTCTATGGGTGTCTGTGTGAGTAGTCTATGGGTGTCTGTGTGAGTAGTCTATGGGTCTCTGTGTAAGTAGTCTATGGGTCTCTGTGTGAGTAGTCTATGGGTGTCTGTGTGAGTAGTCTATGGGTGTCTGTGTGAGTAGTCTATGGGTGTCTGTGTGAGTAGTCTATGGGTCTCTGTGTGAGTAGTCTATGGGTCTCTGTGTGAGTAGTCTATGGGTCTCTGTGTGATGAGTCTATGGGTCTCTGTGTGAGTAGTCTATGGGTCTCTGTGTGATGAGTCTATGGGTCTCTGTGTGAGTAGTCTATGGGTGTCTGTGTGATGAGTCTATGGGTCTCTGTGTGAGTAGTCTATGGGTGTCTGTGTGATGAGTCTATGGGTCTCTGTGTGAGTAGTCTATGGGTCTCTCTGTGAGTAGTCTATGGTGTCTGTGTGATGAGTCTATGGGTCTCTGTGTGAGTAGTCTATGGGTGTCTGTGTGAGTAGTCTATGGGTCTCTGTGTGAGTCTATGGGTCTCTGTGTGAGTAGACTATGGGTCTCTGTGTGAGTCTATGGGTCTCTGTGTGAGTCTATGGGTCTCTGTGTGAGTAGTCTATGGGTGTCTGTGTGATGAGTCTATGGGTCTCTGTGTGAGTAGTCTATGGGTGTCTGTGTGAGTAGTCTATGGGTGTCTGTGTGAGTAGTCTATGGGTCTCAGTGTGAGTCTATGGGTCTCTGTGTGAGTAGTCTATGGGTGTCTGTGTGATGAGTCTATGGGTCTCTGTGTGAGTAGTCTATGGGTGACTGTGTGAGTAGTCTATGGGTGTTTGTGTGAGTAGTCTATGGGTCTCAGTGTGAGTCTATGGGTCTCTGTGTGTATGAGTCTATGGGTCTCTGTGTGAGTAGTCTATGGGTGTCTGTGTGATGAGTCTATGGGTCTCTGTGTGAGTAATCTATGGGTCTCTGTGTGAGTAGTCTATGAGTGTCTGTGTGAGTAGTCTATGGGTCTCTGTGTAAGTAGTCTATGGGTCTCTTTGTGAGTAGTCCATGGGTGTCTGTGTGAGTAGTCTATGGGTGTCTGTGTGAGTAGTCTATGGGTCTCTGTGTAAATATTCTATGGGTGTCTGTGTGAGTAGTCCATGGGTCTCTGTGTGAGTAGTCTATGGGTCTCTGTGTGATGAGTCTATGGGTCTCTGTGTGAGTATTCTATGGGTCTCTGTGTGAGTAGTCTATGGGTCTCTGTGTGAGTCTATGGGTCTCTGAGTGAGTAGTCTATGGGTGTCTGTGTGAGTAGTCTATGGGTCTCTGTGTGAGTCTATGGGTCTCTGTGTGAGTAGTCTATGGGTCTCTGTGTGAGTAGTCTATGGGTGTCTGTGTGAGTAGTCTATGGGTCTCTGTGTGAGTAGTCTATGGGTGTCTGTGTGAGTAGTCTATGGGTGTCTGTGTGAGTCTATGGGTCTCTGTGTGAGTAGTCTATGGGTGTCTGTGTGAGTAGTCTATGGGTGTCTGTGTGAGTAGTCTATGGGTCTCTGTGTGAGTAGTCTATGGGTGTCTGTGTGAGTAGTCTATGGGTGTCTGTGTGAGTAGTCTATGGGTCTCTGTGTGAGTAGTCTATGGGTGTCTGTGTGAGTAGTCTATGGGTGTCTGTGTGAGTAGTCTATGGGTCTCTGTGTGAGTAGTCTATGGGTGTCTGTGTGAGTAGTCTATGGGTGTCTGTGTGAGTAGTCTATGGGTCTCTGTGTGAGTAGTCTATGGGTGTCTGTGTGAGTAGTCTATGGGTGTCTGTGTGAGTAGTCTATGGGTCTCTGTGTGAGTAGTCTATGGGTGTCTGTGTGAGTAGTCTATGGATCTCTGTGTGAGTAGTCTATGGATCTCTGTGTGAGTAGTCTATGGGTGTCTGTGTGAGTAGTCTATGGGTGTCTGTGTGAGTAGTCTATGGGTGTCTGTGTGAGTAGTCTATGGGTTTCTGTGTGAGTAGTCTATGGGTGTCTGCGTGAGTAGTCTATGGGTCTCTGCATGATGAGTCTATGGGTCTCTGCGTGGGGCAGTGTCAATCCTCACCGATGACAGAGAGGTTGACCCTCCCCTCGAAGTTGTCGTGGGGGAAGGTGGCCACGTGGCAGAGGAAGAGGCCCCCGTCGCCAGCCCGCACGTCCAGCAGCTCCAGCGAGACGTCGCCGGGAGGCCCCCCAACGCGGAACCGCAGTCGGCCCGCGAGGGACGAGTTGGAGTACGCCGTGCCGTGCAGCGGGCTGAGTGCGGCCAAATTGGCCCCCGCCCAGACGTTGCCACGGGAGGCCTTCAGCCAGTTGGCCTGCACCACCACCACGGCCGCACCCCACAGAACGCAGCGCAGCAGCGCCACCTTCTGGCCGACCACCGCCGTGACCTGGCCGTCCGTGTCGACACCCACACGAGGGGCTGGGTGGGAAGACAACACAGAGACCCATAGACTACTCATAGAGACCCATAGACTACTCATAGAGACCCATAGACTACTCATAGAGAGCCATAAACTACTCACACAGACACCCATAGACTACTCACAGAGACCCATAGACTACTCATAGAGACCCATAGACTACTCACGCAGAGTCCCATAGACGACTTATAGACCGACAAGACTATTTACGCAGAGATCCATAGAGTACTCATAGAGACCCATAGACTATCTTCTTTGGTAATTTCGATAAAGTCACGTAGAATGAGAATAAAATAATAAATTGATAAAATAACACAATAATATTCTTACGACGTATCGGCCACAACACAAGCGGCCATCATCAGGTGAAGGGACGAGACTGTCTGGAGGACAGCGCTGGTCTGAGCGTGGCTGTGTTCGCTCCAGCGCTGTCCTCGTGTTCGCTCCAGCGCTGTCCTCCAGACAGTCTCGTCCCTTCACCTGATGAAGGCCGCTTGTGTTGTGGCCGAAACGTCGTGAGAATATTATTGTGTTATTTTATTTTATCAATTTATTTTATTCTCATTCTACGTGGTGACTTTACCGAAAGAACCAAAGATGAATCCTTGCAGTCACGAAAGCTTTAAATCGAAATCCATAGACTACTCATAGAAACTCATAGACTACTCACGCAGAGTCCCATAGACCACTCAGAGACCCACAAGACTACTCACACAGAGACCCATAGACCACTCATAGAGATCCACAAGACTACTCACACAGAGACCCACTTCACACGCACAAAAATACCTCTCACTCATTCACCCAGCCACCCACTCACCCACGGTGCTGTGTGGTGGAGGGACGGAGACACACGACAGTGGAGACCACTCCCCTGCCTTCCACCGTGGCAAGTCGGCTACCATTCTCACGCGGACACAGTACTCATCCTCGCGTCCCGGCAGAAGCATCATTCGGTGTTGGTACCGGCATCCGATGAAGCGCTCCTGGCAGTAAGCATCATCATCATCAGTAGTAGCAGCAGTAGTAGTAGCAGCAACAGCATCATCATCAGTAGTAGTAGCATCATCAGTAGTAGTGTCATTGGTAGTATCATCATCATCAGTAGCAGCATCGCCACCCACCCACTCAACCACGCACATCTCCCGCCACAACCTCCCGACCCCCGTCACAACTCCCGCAATCTCTCACCGTGAGTTGAACGCCGCCTCTTGTCGAAATGTCAACCTGATGGTGGAACTTCACGTCGTGCGACACCAGCGCCCTCCACCCCCGCCCGACGGAGACCAACAACGACAGCTTCCGCACCTCCGGCTCTCCGTCGACCACCGCCTCCAACTCCCCAGCCACCCCAGGACCACCGTCATCACGGCGGTCATCGTCACCGCCGTCACGGTCATCGTCATCGCCGTCGTCGTTGTCGCTGTAGCCATCATCGTCGTTGTCTTCATCGTCACCCACAACACCGCACTCCTCATCCTCATCCTCACCACCATCGCCCTCCTCCTCCTCCTCCCCCCGCGTCAGTTTGTCGAGCCTCAGGGTGAACGACGGAGCGCTGAGCACAGCTGAGACACGGGAGAGGGGGGGTCATGGCGAGGGATGTTTGTGTGATCTCTCCCTGTCCTACAGAGTGAGTGAGTGAGTGCAGTTTGTGTGATCTCCCCCTGTCCTACAGAGTGTGTGAGTGGAGTTTGTGTGATCTCCCCCTGTCCTACAGAGTGTGTGGAGTTTGTGTGATCTCCCCCTGTTCTACAGAGTGTGTGAGTGGAGTTTGTGTGATCTCCCCCTGTCCTACAGAGTGAGTGGAGTTTGTGTGATCTCCCCCTGTCCTACAGAGTGAGTGAGTGGAGTTTGTGTGATCTCCCCCTGTGCTACAGAGTGAGTGAGTGGAGTTTGTGTGATCTCCCCCTGTCCTACAGAGTGAGTGAGTGGAGTTTGTGTGATCTCCCCCTGTGCTACAGAGTGAGTGAGTGGAGTTTGTGTGATCTCCCCCTGTCCTACAGAGTGAGTGGAGTTTGTGTGATCTCCCCTTGTGAGCCGAAGACACACACACAGGCAGAAAGAGTCACAGACATACACAGCGACACACACAGACAAAGATGACAAAGATCCTCCGTGTAGCCTGAAAAATACCGTTGGGGCAAGTGCTGTTAGTGAGCACCAGACAGACACGGACAAAGAGAGACACAGAGAGAGAGACACAGAGAGACACACACACACAGAGACACAGAGAGAGAGAGACACAGAGAGACACACACACAGAGACACAGAGAGAGACACACACACAGAGACACAGAGAGAGAGACACACACACAGAGACACAGGCATATGTACAATCTCGTGCCACTCACTTTCCATCAAGGGCAGGACCACAACCGCGACCCAGGGTGAGGATCGTGACGGCGAGGATGAGAAGGAGAATCTCACACGGAGGAGGTAGCGGTCACCGGGATCGTCCAGCGCCGAGGAGACGTCGCACCGTGTCTCCGTTGTTGCAGCGCAGACGGTCTGCCAGCGGGCTCGTCTGAAGCTGCGCAGACAGAGACACAGGGAGGAGTGGTGAGGGTGGTGAGGAGCCAGTGGGTGAGAGAGACGTGTGTGTGTGTGAGTGAGTGGGTTGGTGGATGAGTGGGTTGGTGAGTGAGTGGGTGAGTGGGTTGGTGAGTGGGTGAATGGGTTGGTGAGTGAGTGGGTGAATGGGTGAGTGGGTGATTGAGTGGGTGAGTGAGTGGGTTGGTGAGTGAGTGGGTTGGTGAGTGGGTTGGTGAGTGAGTGGGTGGGTGAGTGGGTTGGTGAGTGAGTGGGTGAGTGGGTAAGTTGGTTGGTGAGTGAGTGGGTGAGTGGGTTGGTGAGTGAGTGGGTTAGTGAGTGGGTGAGTGGGTTGGTGAGTGAGTGGCTGAGTGAGTGAGCATCTCACAGTTTGCTCTGAACTCTGTATGTAACATTCAGGAACGTTGAGTTGGTCGTGGTCGTGGTGGTCGAGTTGATGGTTAAAGGATCAACAAGTGGGGGTCTATCCCCTCCATCCCCACTGGGAGCCGCTTCAACGGGGTCCCAGCAAAGGGTCGCCAGGAGGTCTCGAGACTCCAAACGAACATTCAGTGGGAACAGCGGAGCTGGGCAGATGGGGAAAAAACACTCAAGAGTGCGCTAACCACTGCACCACCACTCCTCACTCACACACAGTGCGTTAACCACTGCACCACCACTCCCCACACACTTACACACACAGTGTGCTAACCACTGCACCACCACTCCACACACACAGTGCGTTAACCACTGCACCACCACTCCCCACTCACACCCACACAGTGCGTTAACCACTGCACCACCACTCCCCACACACACACAGTGCGTTAACCACTGCACCACCACTCCCCACACACAGTGCGCTAACCACTGCACCACCACTCCCCACACACTCACAGTGCGCTAACCACTGCACCACCACTCCCCACTCACACACAGTGCGCTAACCACTGCACCACCACTCCCCACACACTCACACACAGTGCGCTAACCACTGCACCACCACTCCCCACTCACACACACACAGTGCGCTATCCACTGCACCACCACTCCCCACACACACACAGTGCGCTAACCACTGCACCACCACTCCACACTCACACAGTGCGCTAACCACTGTACCACCACTCCCCACTCACACTTACACAGTGCGCTAACCACTGCACCACCACTCTCCACACAATCACAACCTGGCACCCGATTTATCGACCACCTCGGGCTCTGCTCACCGTGGCTGCTGCACGTGACAAGGTGGTGGAGGAGGAGGAGAGGCAGGATGAAGGGGAAGAGTAGGCCAAGTTTGTAGAGTTTCGACATCGCCATTAACTCCACACGCAGCCACGCGCCCGCCTCACCCAAGTCACGTGCTGAGGAAATCGATTCAAGGTTAAATTAAAAACTCGGATCGATTCCTATGGGGATAACAAATGCGAATCGATAGTGGTCAAAAATGTAGCCGATGGCATCGATCCCTATTGGGACTGCATTGGAATTGACGTTGGTCGTGAGTGTAAAATGGAATCGAATACATTTTCGATAACATGGGAATTGATTATGGCGATTTGTTCTAATAACATAGGAATCGATCTAGCTAGTGATTTGAAGCGCATAGAATCGAATCCCATTGGGATACCTACAATGAGAATCGATTGTGTTAGAAAAGGAGAACGTTTAGAATCGATTCCTATTGAGAATGAATCAGAATCAGAAAGGGTATTCGCCATGAAAGTTCACACCGACACGGAAGTTACTTTGGCAGGATGGTGCATACATTCAACATATAGGAATCTAAAATCTTAAATAAGTTTTAAACAAGTCTTACTATAATAATAAGGATTAAAAGTCTAACTAACACCAAGGGGCTGAAGTATATAAAATTGAATAAATATCGAATATAAAATAGCTTTAAGATATAATTTAAAAAAATACAAATAGGTTAACATAGTTAATATCGGCAAGGTTTCATTATGTAGATAAAATGTTAACAGGCCAGCAGCAGATGGGAAGAAACTGTCTTTATGGCGTGAGGTTTTGGTCCTGATGGACCGAAGCCTTCTGCCGGAGGGGAGTAGCTGAAACAGAGAGTGTGTCCAGGGTGGGAGGAATCGGCCACAAATCTTCCTCGCTCGCCTCATGGTCCTTGTCGTGTGCAGGTCCTCGAGGGTTGGTAGATTGCAGGCAATCACCTTCTCAGCAGTGTGGATGATACGCTGCAGTCTGCTCTCGTCCTTGGCAGTGGCAGCAGCGTACCAGATGGTTATGGAGGAGGTGAGGATGGATTCAATGATCGCTGTATAGAATTGCACCATCATTGTCTTTGGCAGGTTGAATTTCTTCAGCTGCCGTAGAAAGTACATCCTCTGTTGAGCTCTCTTGGTGAGGGAGCTGATGTTCAGTTCCCACTTGAGGTCCCGGGAGAGAATAGTGCCCAGGAAGCGGAAGGACTCTACAATTTTGACTGGGGAGTCTAACAGGGTGATGGGGGTGAGGGGGGCTGTATTCTTCCTGAAGTCCACAACCATCTCAACTGTCTTTAGAGCATTTAGCTCTAAGTTGTTCTGGCTACACCAGGTCACCAGGTTGTCAGCTTCCCACCTATAGTCAGACTCATCCCCACCAGAGATCAGCCCAATGAGGGTGGTGTCGTCCGCAAACTTCAAGAGTTTGACGGACAGATGATTGGAGGTGCAGCTGTTGGTATACAGGGAGAAGAGCAGAGGGGAAAGGACGCAGCCCTGAGGAGTTCCGGTGCTGAAGGACTTGGAGTCGGAGATTTGTGTTCCCAGCTTAACGCACTGCTTCCTGTCAGACAGGAAGTGTGATCCATTTACAGGTGGTGTAGGGCACGTTCAGCTGGAAGAGCTTGTCCTGAAGCAGGGCAGGGATGATGGTGTTAAAGGCAGAGCTGAAGTCCACAAACAGGATCCTGGCGTAGGATGCTGGGGCGTCCAGATGCTGTAGGGTGAAGTGGAGGGCCATGTTAACTGCGTCGTCCACAGACCTGTTGGCTCTGTAGGCAAACTGAAGGGGGTCCAGGAGAGGGTCTGTGATGGCTTTGAGGTGTGCCAGGACCAGGCGCTCAAAAGACTTCATTACCACAGATGTAAGGGCGACCGGTCTGTAATCATTTAGTCCTGTTGGCCTTAGCTTTTTGGGCACAGGGATGATGGTGGAGGACTTGAGACAGGCTGGTACATGGCATGTCTCCAGGGAGGTGTTAAAGATGTTGGTGAACACCGGAGACAGCTGGTCAGCGCAGTGCCTGAGGGTGGCTGGAGAGACAGAGACCGGCCCGGCTGCTTTGCGTGGATTCTGCCTCTTGAAAAGTCTATTAACTTCTCCCTCCTGAAAGGAGATAGTCGTCTCTGTAGTATTGGTGGGGGATGGGGCCTCTTGGGTTGGAAGGGGTGGTTCAGGACAGTCCAATTGTCTTTCAAATCTACAGTAGAACTCGTTCAGGTCGTTGGCTAGGCGGGAGTCGTTAGTGGTGTGGGGGGCTCTGGGTTTGTAGTTGGTGATCTGCCTGAGCCCTCTCCAGACAGAAGCAGCGTCGTTTGTAGAGAACTGGTGTTTTAGTCTCTCTGAGTACAGTCGTTTAGCCTCTCTCACCGCTTTGCTAAACCTGTTCTTCGACTCCTTGAATCTGTCTCTATCTCCACTCCTAAACGCTTCCTCCTTCTCCAACCTCAACCTTCTGAGCTTTGCTGAGAACCAGGGCTTATTGTTGTTAAAGTTCACCCTGGTACGTGTTGGGATACAGCAGTCCTCACAGAAGCTGATGTAGGACGTCACAGCCGCTGTGAGTTCATCCAGACTATTGGTAGCAGTCGTGAACATATCCCAGTCAGTACAGTCTAAGCACGCCCGCAAATCTTCCACAGCCTCACTGGTCCACTGTTTAGATGTCCTCACAGCAGGTTTACAGAGTTTTAGTTTCTGCCTGTATGCAGGAATCAGGTGGACTATGGCATGGTCAGAGTGTCCTAGTGCTGCTCGGGGGACGGCGTGGTAGGCTCTACTGACTGTAGTGTAGCAGTGATCCAGAGTGTTCCCTTCTTTGGTTGGGCATTTAATGAATTGTATGTATTTGGGGAGTTCGTGGCTGAGATTACCTTTGTTAAAGTCGCCAAGTACGATAACCAACGAATCTGGATTTGCTCGCTCCACACTCAGAATCTGATCGGCGAGCATGCGTTGGGCCTCTTTAACCTGAGGACAAGGCGGCAAATAAACTCCGACCAAAATGAGCGACGCGAACTCGCGAGGCGAGTAAAACGGTTTACAGGTTATAAAAATTGATTCAAGGAGTGGAGAACAATGTTGCAGAATCACTGTGACATCTACACACCAGCCACTATTAATGTAAAAACAAATACCACCGCCTTTCGTCTTGCCGGAGAGTGCTATGTCACGATCCGATCTTACAAGATGGAATCCTGCTAGTTGTAGCGAAGTGTCCGGAATCAAATCACACAGCCATGTTTCCGTGAAGCACAAAGCAGAAGCTGAAAGAAAGTCTTTGTTTTTTACCATCAGTAGCTGAAGTTCATCCATTTTGTTGTACAGTGAACGTACGTTGGAGAGGAAAAAGCTCAGAAGCACTGTTCGGATCCCGCGTCTGCGTAGCCGTACTAGAGCCCCCGACCGTTTACCCCTTGGGCGGCGTTTCGCTGCTTGAGCAAAGCCTAGCGCGGCATTGACTAGAATGCCTACTAATTCTGCCGCTGGAAGCAGAAAAGTAGGAATTAAATCCACAGGAGTTGTTTCCCTGATATTTAAAAGTTCGTCTCTTGTTAAAGAACTCCGAAAATCTTGGCAAAACACTGAATTGACAGACAAAACAAGACAAAACAGGGCGCACCGACCGGCTGAGGCTACTATCATCGGCGCCATCTTCGCACCAGCACGGGTGTGCTGAACAGCAGGACTCTCTCACCAGCACTGGTGTGTTGAACAGTAGGCCCCTCTCACCAGCATGGGAGTGGTGAACAGCAGGCCCCTCTCACCAACACGGGTGTGATGAACAGTAGGCCTCTCTCACCAGCATGGGAGTGAACAGCAGGCCCCTCTCACCAACACGGGTGTGATGAACAGCACGCCCCTCTCACCAGCACGGGTGTGCTGAACAGTAGGCCTCTCTCACCAGCACGGGTGTGCTGAACAGCAGGCCCCTCTCACCAGCACGGGTGTGTTAAACAGCAGGCCCCACTCACCAGCACGGGTGTGTTAAACAGCAGGCCCCTCTCACCAGCACGGGTGTGTTGAACAGCAGGCCCCTCTCACCAGCACGGGTGTGCTGAACAGTAGGCCCCTCTCACCAGCAGGGGTATGTTGAACAGCAGGCCCCTCTCACCAGCACGGGTGTACTGAACAGTAGGCCCCTCAACACGGGTGTGCTGAACAGCAGGCCTCTCTCACCAGCACGGGTGTGCTGAACAGCAGGCCCCTCAACAGCAGGCCCCTCTCACCAGCACGGGTGTGCTGAACAGCAGACCCCTCAACACGGGTGTGCTGAACAGCAGGCCTCTCTCACCAGCACGGGTGTGCTGAACAGCAGGCCCCTCTCACCAACACGGATGTGATGAACAGCAGGCCCCTCTCACCAGCACGGGTGTGCTGAACAGCAGGCCCCTCAACAGCAGGCCTCTCTCACCAGCGCAGGTGTGCTGAACAGCAGGCCTCTCAACAGCAGGCCTCTCTCACCAGCAAGGGTGTGCTGAACAGCAGGCCCCTCAACACGGGTGTACTGAACAGCAGGCCTCTCTCACCAGCACGGGTGTGATGAACAGCAGGCCTCTCAACAGCAGGCCTCTCTCACCAGCACGGGTGTGATGAACAGCAGGCCTCTCTCACCAGCACGAGTGTGTTGAACAGCAAGCCCCTCTCAAGACAAAACTGGACAAAACAGGGCGCACCAACCGGCCGAGGCTGCCATCATCGGGGCCATGAACTCTGTCCTAGTGGTCTTCCCCCCATGTGTACTGTCGCCTGCTGACGTATGTACTGCCGTACACTGTATTTATAACTTTCAGTCGGCAGACGGCGCTATTACGCTACATTTGGAATGTGCTAACCCAGCGGCCCCCACCCTTTTTGGCACCAGGGACCGGTTTCGTGGAAGACAATTTTTTTCACGGACCGGAGGAGGGGGGGGGTTCATCATTGGGTCTTTCCCCCTTTTCAAAGAAGCTCTCCAGCGACGTTTGTTTATTACACATTGTGGCTACTAGGGGGTTAGAGCTTGTGGGCTTTATACCAACACTGTGACTGAGACAAGTGCGCAGTGCGGGAAAGAGGCGCGGACGGAAGTGGTAAATAATAAAATAATGGGGGCGGGCCACACGCGGACTCACCGCTCACCTCCTGCTGCTGTGCGGCCCGGTTCCTAACAGGGGGTTGGGGACCCCTGTGCTAACCCACCAAGCAGGGTAGGTAAGCATTCTCATTCGTGAGATTCGATATTTCAGAGTCTGTATTTGTGGCGTCCATTGCATTAAGACGGGCAAAGTGCGTGTAATTTGGAGACGGACAAAGGCATCTCGGGGATCACAGATAGCTTGGTGGTGATGGCTATGCTGTATGTAGCCTCTAATCCAGCACCGCAGAGGCAGTGAGGGTGGCTGGACCGCACACGTTTTGCGAAAATCCCTTCCCATGGACGTCGAGGAGGTGCCACTCCCCGGCACGCCGGAAGAAGGCAGTACAGCAAAGTGCAGACTAAATATTGTAGATCCCTTCTGTATGCGTGTATGTTGAACTTCTTTTGCACGGTACGGAGCCAATTGTGCAAATTGGAGGGATCAACACTCATTAACTTAATTTGCAGAGGACTGCAGAGCTTGGCTAATTGTTGGTGTTGGCTCACAGCCTGTATGCCTGAGGTTCCTCAGCGATGGTGAGATGCAATTTGCAATGAATGATGACGCGATATGAAACTAAACATGAGTATTATCAATAGGTGATGTTTTAGTGCGTTAAACGGTGGCTGGATCACACGCATTCAGAGGTTCTGATTTGTAATCATCTTGAAAAGCGTGTTACTAAATTTCTGCCAGTAGATGAAGGCGCTATTTTAGTTAGTATTGGCGATGTAATGCGGGTTAAAGCTTGCGCACAAATTGGAGGCTTTGGAAGATAAGCCTATAGAGGTGTTTCACGATAACATGCCATGTCACTTTCATGCAGTAGAGAAGCAGCAGCTCGCCTGCGTTTAAGTGACTCGGTACAATGGTGAGCACAATGCTTGATAAGTAGGGACGTGCTCACCCAGCCATGGATAGAACTAAATAATGAAGCAATTCTGCTGGAGCTTTTCTTTTGTTGGCGGCAGGCTACCTATCTGTAATACCCAATTCTGACGTGGCATTGTGCTTGCCACTCACCCCTTCATGTGCCATGCCGGCCTGTTAAGGCTATATGGGGGATCTTTGTGTTTGTGGAGAGAGTGAAGAGTTTTCCATACCTGGGCAGTGTGCTCATGACCAGCTCCGGTTTGACAACAGAGGTCTCATTCCGAATCAGTCAAGCGGCATTAACTTTCCATCAGTTGCGTAAAGCTACCTGGTCTGTCACTCCCTATGAAGCTTCGGATCTTCTCGGCCAGTCATGCCCTCCCTTCTCTACGCTTGCAAAATGTAAACCCCCCTAAAGGAAAATCTTCCCTGGTTAGAAACATTTAGGCTGGCCTGCCTACGATCCATCCTGGGTTTAACCAGGCTGGATTGTGTGAGGAGCTCACAGATCTTTAAAAGATCTGGACAAAATCCCATCGGTGAGCTCCTCTGGCAGGCAAGGTTGCATTAGTTGGGTCATGTAGCCCACATGCCTAAACAGCTTTTGTTCAGCCAGATAGAGGGGGCTAAACGAGAAGAGATGGAGTGATGTGGTACAAGAGGATGTGGAGCTGAGTGGACTGGTACCAGTGGTGTCTAGATCGGCCTAATTGGAGGAGGCTCGTGAATGCTGCTGCTGGGCAGTTGGGTGGCTGAAGCACAGCAAGTTGGCACAGTACGGGGCACAGGTGGTGCATCGGCCATTCATTTCAGTCAGTGGACCCCTGGCACCTGGGTCTGCCCCATAACCTCCTACCAGTGGGCCTTCGGCACTTCACGTGGCCTCAACATGCACATAGCCTGGCACAAGCGATGTGGTGAGGTCACCGCCACTTAGTGGCGAATGGCGGTTGTTGTGTCGACCTGTATGGGTGGTCTGTGTAATGTAAAGGAAGTGTTTTTGGCGGCCGCAAAGTCCTAAACTTTTTAATGAAAAACAAATGGAACAGGTTCCCTCTTGTGAACAGCAACACAACATTGAGAAACAACGCGCACCACGGTAACTCCCGGGTCGGCCGCAGCGAGATTCTAAACGGCAAACCCCTCTGTGCCGTCACGAGCGCCGCCACCACCGGCCTGTCCCCCCTCCCCCGAACGCCAACGACGACACCTGGTAACCTACCCGCTGGAAAAAATTAACGGTGCTCAAGCGGTAAATGTCATGGGTTTACTCTCCAGCACGCAAATCGGCGGGGTCGAAAGCGGGAGCTCATCGGCCACGGTTTATAGCAGCAGCTGTCAGAGTCGGGATCGAACCCACGACCTCCTGTAGACCGGGCGAGGTAGTTAACATCTCATAGCCACTGTGGTGATGATGATGATGAGAGAGTGAGAGAGACGCAAGCTCCAAATATACGGCAGCAGCTGTCAGAATTGGGATCGCACCTACAACCTCCTGTAGGGCTGCACGGATTCCTCCAGTATAGACAAAAGTTTCTGATGGATGTGAAAGTGACGTAACCCTATGAGCCCCACCCGGCACGGCCAATGGGAGACGTTTGTCACGTGAACGGAGTGCGGTCGTTCAGTTACTGCCGCTGGTGGTGATCACCAAGCGGGACGTCAAACTCCACTGTCAACGTTGTGGGTTTGCTCTCCCAGAACACAATTGGTGTGCGTTAAAGTAGTAACGAATTGAAACTATTAAACTCAACAAATTTATTTTTCATTTTACCAGGCCGAGGACCCACCGACCCACGCAGCTATTTTCATAAGCGACCTGGCCATCACAAACGATAGCTCAATGACGCGGCGTTATCGTCGTCGTCGTGCGTGAGAATCTCCAGCGAGCGGCTCTCCGAACACAACTGACGGGGGCGACGAGGCGCGCGCTCGCACGCGTGGACCCCGTGACGCTTGTGCACGACGTGGTTTTTTGTATTTGTTTGTCGCTGTAACGTTTTTACCCCGGGGCCCCCGACCAGAAGTCTGTGGGAAAAGAGCTTCACAGCTTGTCGGATTCCTACCTCCAGCGTAAATAAATATTTCCGATTCGGATTCCGTTTGCGCTCAGAGGAGGCAATCGACTGGCGGTGACGACGAGAGGCTCCTGCCAAGCGCCACAGGGTAGTAGGCAGATGACCTGCGGGCAGCGTTAAGACCACAGGAATCTGATGAGTGGTGAGGCCAGTGGGCGAGGTCCTTTTTGCGTCGTTTTTTTTCCCCACGAGTTTTTTTTTTTGGGGAACCCCTTGCGACCGCATTGGAGGGCGAGGAGGCGGGCGCGAAGGGAAGGACTCTCGCGTTGTTACCGGGGGGAGGTCACTTCCTGGCTCCGGTCACCGCGGCTTTGGCGGGGAAGGGGAAGCGGAGGAAGCCGTCGGATTGCGGCGACCTGCCCGGGGGGCTGCCGTCGAAAAACAACGGCCTCGGCGCAAACTCCGTCCCCTCAGGGCGGCAGCACGGAGGCGTCTTCATCATCCAGCTCCACGCGTTTCCCTCCGCGCCTTGCGATGTTCGCGGGGTCGACGTCTCTGCTACAGGGGAAGGGGGGGTGGGGGAAAAAATTACATTACGTACAAAACGTCACCGTATGAACCTATCCCCATTTTCCCTGCTTGGTCGGTTCCTAACAAAGTTCAAACATATCATTACCAGAGTTGTTTCTTTTCGTTTGCATTTTTGACTGCTTGTGTTGTGGTTATTGCAAACATGATTCCTTGTATAAAGGTGTCAGTTTTTGTTGTGCCAGCCAAAAGGGTAAAAACCTATTCCTATATCTTGTTACTGGCAAAGGAGGTCTCATAATGTAAAGGTTTACCCCGAGCCCTCAATACTCCCTGATGGTGCGCTGTTTTTGAGTTGTACGCCTTTTGGCGTCTTCTGGTCCAACATCAGTGGAGACTAGGCTCTAAGAAAAGCCGTCTCGGGTGTGGACCAATCAAATTCAAGGACAGTGCATATTATTATCAGAGTTGTCTCTTTTGTTTGCATTTTGACTGCTTGTGTTGTGGTTATTGCAAACATGATGCCTTGAATAAAGGTGTCAGTTTTTGTGCCAGCTAAAAGGGTAAAAACCTATTACTAAAGTTCAAACGGCCCTACCGAATCTCACTATGAATGGCGAGGACGCCGCGCCGTTCAGAGCCTCCTCCTCCTCAGCGCGTCTCCCCTCGTCGATAGCGGAGAATCGCAGGCGGAGGCGATCGTAGGAGACCTGCAGTTTCTTCTGCTCCCGGTCCCTCTCCAGCAGTTTCTCGGCAGCCTCGTTGTACCTCTTCTTGAACTTGGCCAGCTCGCTCTTGGCAAGCGAGAACTGCCGCTTCAGAGTGGCGACCTCCGTGACCTTGTTCTGGATCTCCTGCTTGAAGCGGTCCTCAGACTGCACCCTGAGCCTCTTTGATTTCACGGCCAAGTGTTCCTGATACAGTCTCTCCTGGTGCACCTGCGAGATGGAAAATTTGATTAAACGTATTTTTTATCGGTTAAAGAGCCGTACGCGCAAGGGGACTTACGTGTAGAAGAATAACTCGGTTAGCGAAGCCTCTGGGAATGACGAAGCTCCAAAAAAAAATCGAAAGAATGAAAAACAAATATTCATAATTTTCAATTTAAAGCTTTCGTGACTGCAGGGATTCATCTTCTGGGTTCTTTCGGTAAAGTCACCACGTAGAATTGAGATAAAAAAATAAAACAGAATTTATTCTGTAATAAAAATTAAAATAATAATAACATAATAAATTCTGTTATTATTTTTATTATTTTATCTCCATTCTACGTGACTTTACCGAAAGAACCCAGCAGGAGAAAAATATTCATAAATCACGCAAATTAATTCAAGAGTGACATCTTAAACGCTGTACATGTTCTAAGTAGTGCCACCGATAATAGACGGACTAAATATTAACTGCGTCATTCCAATGGTGCTCGCTAAATAAAGAAATGCCTCCAAGTCTTTTTGTCTCCGAGTTAGTCACTACTTATGTTTGGAGTTTGCACGTTCTCCCAGTGGCCGTGTGGATTTTCTCCAGGTCCTCTGATTTTTCCCTCCCAATGTTTAGAAACGACATCTAACGCGTTTTAGAGTATTTGACTGCTGTAAATTTCCACGTGATGATAACAGCCGCTTGGGTTGGGCTATCATTCGTGATGGCCAGGTCGCTTCTGCAAAAAAAAGAGGTTACGTAGCTCAGTGGGACTTTATCCGCTAAAATATAAAACATTTCAGTTTGTTACTTTTTAAAAATAAATTTTATTTTTATTTTTAAAAAGTCACCGATCCGTCGCCGATACCTGAAAGATCCAGAATGAAAGCGCCCGCGAACATATCTCCTGGATGACGTCCGGCCCTAGGCCCGCCAGCACCATGGACTTGTGCTCCTCGGGGGGGTTCAAGCAGACCCGCACCACGTCCAGGCTGCCGCGCGGCAAGGCGCCGCACGCCGGGCAGGCGGCCGCCCCCGTCTTGAACTCGCGTTCGCCGTCCTCGTCGCAAAAGAGATGCGAGCAGGAGGTGACCCAGGCGAAGTCGCCGACAATGCGCCGGCACTTCCTCAAGTTGCACACCAGAATTTGTTCGTGCGCCGACATTTCCTCCCCGCCTGACCACTGGCCCCGGGGGGTCGCCAGTTCTCCTGTTCCCAGTCGCCGCCGTTCTGGTTGAGGGAAACGAATCGCGGGTGAAACACGTTTTCGCATGGAGTGCGCGAAATGCGTTCGCGTTTTTTTTTTTGCGAGCTCCTGCCGTTTATTGACTGGCTCAGAGCTCCAGAGAGAGCACCGGGGTGCGGTCTCGTTCGTTAAGGGCGGCGAGAGATCTTGGTCAGCGTAATGACGGAAGCAAGTGAGGTACAGTACGATGGCGAAGCAAACAGAAATCAGTTGGGAGAGCGACGGTTTTAGAGGATAAATTGCTGAGCAGGGGGAGTGTTCTGACCTGCGGTTTGGTGAGTGGGTGGATGAGTTTGTGGGTGAGTGAGCGAACTTGTAAGTGGCTGATGGGCTGGGTGTATGCACGTTGAACTTATTTCACACCGTACAGAGCGAACCTTGCTAATCGGAGGTACGGGTAGAGGACAAGAAACAAAACACAAAGACCAGTGCAAAAGAAATTAGTCTTCAATCTAGATGATTTTAAAATGCACAGTTTCAGTGGATTCCTAATAGCGGAAGGAAAATGGTTCCAGACGGACGCAGAAGCGCATCTGAAAGTGCGCAACGCTTGCCCAAAAACCTCTGCGAGGGTGAGTGTGTTGTGACCTGCAGGGTGGTGGGGTGAGTGGATGGGTTTCTGGGTGAGTGAACTTGTCAGTGGCTGACTGGTTCAGTGAGTGTCTTGTTGTGCCTGCAGTTTGGTGAGTGGGTGGGTGAGTTAGTGGGTGAGTGAGCCTGTGAGTGGCCGACTGGCTTTAGTGTGCTGTCGTGACCTGCAATGTGGTGAGTGGGTAAGTGGATGCGTGCGTGGGTGAGTGAGTGAACTAGTCAGTGGCTGGTTGGCTCAGTGAGTGTCTTGTTGTGCTTGCAGTTTGGTGAGTGGGTGCAAGTGAATTAGTGGGTGAGTGAGCCTGTCAGTGGCTGGCTGGCTTAGCGTGCTGTCGTAACCTTCAATGTGATGAGTGGGTGGTTGGATGAGTGAGTTAGTGGGTGAGGGAGCTTGTCAGTGGCTGACTAGCTGCGCGAATGTGCTGCTGTGACCTGCAGTGTGGTGGGTGAGTGAGTTAATGGGTGAGTGAGCTTGTCAGTGGCTGACTGGCTGTGTTGAGTCCTCACCACTTGAGATTGGGACGAATTGGGGAGGCCTTCGTTCCAGAAGTCGATTGACAATGGCAGAGGATAATGACTGCATGCCACACTCAATGTGCCGTCTGTATTCATCCGTATTGTTAATGTATGAATACGCCTGTTGCTCAGGAAAGCCCCACTGAGTCTCAACTCTTCTTCAGGAGGGGTCCTGCCAAGTTTGCACAAGAGGGGGCGATGTTGCTGTGATCCCTCCCACTGAGCCATTTCCAGGTAATCTTTTAGCTTTGGGATGTGGTTCTGGCAAGTACCAGTTCCACTGTGTTTGTGGGTTTAGCTATGGGAGGGAAACTCGGAGGAAACCAATGGAGATGACACACATGCCACTCTGTAGTACAGAGAATGATCACACAAACCATTGCCGGACAGCTGGGATCACTCCGTGTAGAGTGCTGTACAGTATCTAAATGTGTAGGGGCCATCCCTTTCGTGCGTACGCAAAAATCTGTCAAAACCTGACCCCGTACGCACGCGGACTTTTTACACACCCCCCCCCCCCCCCACCTGCCTACGTACGTTCGCCTGACGCATCACCCCCCCCCCCCCACCCCCTAGAATCCTGTAGAACGGCCGATATGTAATCCACGCAGAAATGATCAATTATTAATATTAACGTGTTTAAGCAAACAGATAGTCCACCGCCGGCTGCATTATTATCGAGGCTTTAACCCCCCCCCCCCCCATTTCCTATGCGTACATTGTGAGTAGACCCCCCCATATGCAAGCGTACGCATTTTGGGTATCCCCCTCCATGACAACGAACTAAATGGATGGCCCCGTATCGGGAAAAATCGGAGGACCCTGAGACAAATCCACGCAATCAACATGGGGAGAGAGACGCAGACTCCAAATATACAGCAGCAGGAGCAAGCGTGGTCAGGGCCTGGGCGCGAACCGACGATCTCCTGTAGGCCAGGCGAGGATGTTAACATCTAGTCACCGTGATGATAACAGGCGAGGTAGTTAACATCTCCTAGTCACCGTGATGATAACAGGCGAGGTAGTTAACATCTCCTAGTCACCTTGATGACAACAGGCGAGGTAGTTAACATCTCCTAGTCACCGTGATGATAACAGGCGAGGTAGTTAACATCTCCTAGTCACCGTGATGATAACAGGCGAGGTAGTTAACATCTCCTAGTCACCTTGATGACAACAGGCGAGGTAGTTAACATCTCCTAGTCACGGTGATGATGACAGGCGAGGTAGTTAACATCTCCTAGTCACCGTGATGATAACAGGCGAGGTAGTTAACATCTCCTAGTCACCGTGATGATAACAGGCGAGGTAGTTAACATCTCCTAGTCACCGTGATGACGACAGGCGAGGTAGTTAACATCTCCTAGTCACCGTGATGATAACAGGCGAGGTAGTTAACATCTCCTAGCCACCGTGATGATAACAGGCGAGGTAGTTAACATCTCCTAGTCACCGTGATGATAACAGGCGAGGTAGTTAACATCTCCTAGTCACCGTGATGACAACAGGCGAGGTAGTTAACATCTCCTAGTCACCGTGATGACGACAGGCGAGGTAGTTAACATCTCCTAGTCACCGTGATGACAACAGGCGAGGTAGTTAACATCTCCTAGTCACCGTGATGATAACAGGCGAGGTAGTTAACATCTCCTAGTCACCGTGATAACAGGCGAGGTAGTTAACATCTCCTAGTCACCGTGATGACAACAGGCGAGGTAGTTAACATCTCCTAGTCACCGTGATGATGACAGGCGAGGTAGTTAACATCTCCTAGTCACCGTGATGATGACAGGCGAGGTAGTTAACATCTCCTAGTCACCGTGATGATAACAGGCGAGGTAGTTAACATCTCCTAGTCACCGTGATGATAACAGGCGAGGTAGTTAACATCTCCTAGTCACCGTGATGATAACAGGCGAGGTAGTTAACATCTCCTAGTCACCGTGATGATAACAGGCGAGGTAGTTAACATCTCCTAGTCACCTTGATGACAACAGGCGAGGTAGTTAACATCTCCTAGTCACCGTGATGATAACAGGCGAGGTAGTTAACATCTCCTAGTCACCGTGATGATAACAGGCGAGGTAGTTAACATCTCCTAGTCACCGTGATGATAACAGGCGAGGTAGTTAACATCTCCTAGTCACCGTGATGATAACAGGCGAGGTAGTTAACATCTCCTAGTCACCGTGATGACGACAGGCGAGGTAGTTAACATCTCCTAGTCACCGTGATGATACAGGCGAGGTAGTTAACATCTCCTAGTCACCGTGATGATAACAGGCGAGGTAGTTAACATCTCCTAGTCACCGTGATGATAACAGGCGAGGTAGTTAACATCTCCTAGTCACCGTGATGATAACAGGCGAGGTAGTTAACATCTCCTAGTCACCGTGATGATGACAGGCGAGGTAGTTAACATCTCCTAGTCACCGTGATGATAACAGGCGAGGTAGTTAACATCTCCTAGTCACCGTGATGATAACAGGCGAGGTAGTTAACATCTCCTAGTCACCGTGATGATAACAGGCGAGGTAGTTAACATCTCCTAGTCACCGTGATGATAACAGGCGAGGTAGTTAACATCTCCTAGTCACCGTGATGATAACAGGCGAGGTAGTTAACATCTCCTAGTCACCGTGATGATAACAGGCGAGGTAGTTAACATCTCCTAGTCACCGTGATGATAACAGGCGAGGTAGTTAACATCTCCTAGTCACCGTGATGATAACAGGCGAGGTAGTTAACATCTCCTAGTCACCGTGATAACAGGCGAGGTAGTTAACATCTCCTAGTCACCGTGATGACGACAGGCGAGGTAGTTAACATCTCCTAGTCACCGTGATGATAACAGGCGAGGTAGTTAACATCTCTTAGTCACCGTGATTAATAGGCGAGGTAGTTAACATCTCCTAGTCACCGTGATGATGACAGGTGAGGTAGTTAACATCTCCTAGTCACCGTGATGATAACAGGCGAGGTAGTTAACATCTCCTAGTCACCGTGATGATAACAGGCGAGGTAGTTAACATCTCCTAGTCACCGTGATGATAACAGGCGAGGTAGTTAACATCTCCTAGTCACCGTGATGATAACAGGCGAGGTAGTTAACATCTCCTAGTCACCGTGATGATAACAGGCGAGGTAGTTAACATCTCCTAGTCACCGTGATGATAACAGGCGAGGTAGTTAACATCTCCTAGTCACCGTGATGATAACAGGCGAGGTAGTTAACATCTCCTAGTCACCGTGATGATAACAGGCGAGGTAGTTAACATCTCCTAGTCACCGTGATGATAACAGGCGAGGTAGTTAACATCTCCTAGTCACCGTGATGACTACAGGCGAGGTAGTTAACATCTCCTAGTCACCGTGATGATAACAGGCGAGGTAGTTAACATCTCCTAGTCACCGTGATGACAACAGGCGAGGTAGTTAACATCTCCTAGTCACCGTGATGATGACAGGCGAGGTAGTTAACATCTCCTAGCACATTCCAAACACTGCACAGCAATCGAATCGCTGGGGATGGGAGGGGGTGGTGTAAAACGTCGTATTTCCAAGCAAAGTAAAATGTTGTGGACCCCATGAGGCTGATGAAAGTTTCACCCTCACGAAAGCGACGCTGGGTCGTGGCTCACAGCGTGATACCAAATAAAAAATAAAATAAATCCATCACCTCACAACTTTTTACAGTTTCCCGCTCTTTTTTTCTATGAGGCGACTTTTAACCCGCCCCCCCCCCCCCCAGCGTGTAATATTGTTTTTGTTATTTATAAACACTCGGATTCCCGCACTTTTTATCGCTTGTT